CGCTGCGGCAACAGCGCACGCCGGATCAACGACGATGAGGGGGAGCCGTGCATTTCTCGCCACCGATATTATTCTCCCCGTCTCTTCCCGCTACACCAAGCAAACAACCTTTAACGCGGCCTCGCTTCTGATGCTATCGGCCTGGCTGCATCATCTGTCACCGCGTGTTCTTTTCTTTCTCGACTCTTTCTTTAGCATATCCTGCTCTGCTCTTTGTTCCGAAACAAAGTCAGGTTTAATCGGGCAAGCGTAGACGCTATGAGTACTGGACAACTGGTGGTTGATTAGTGGTGATGTCGTAAGATCGTGATGCTATTGCACGGATAATGGTGCGATATCTTGAGAATTGGTTCCACCGGCGAGCTCTTTTTAGTTCTTTTGTTGCAGAAATATGGGAAAGACCATCGGAGAGCTCAATGCAATCAACACTATCTCACCAGTGATGCGCAAACAAAAGAAAAACACTGTCTCACTAGTGCAAAATTCTGTTGATTTTATTACCCGTGGGAAAAGTTTCGGGAGTGGGTAGTACATACTCCCTACGTTGCATAATGTAGTACATATAAATTTTCTGAGAGGTGAAACTATAGAAATTTTGGTCAACTTTATAGAGAAAAGTTTTTTAAAAATCTATTCGCACTACGTCGTGGAGCGGATGAAGTAATTGGCAAGCTACAAAGGCTTAATCACCATTTTTGTAACGAGAAAGCTTGATCACTTGACTATATGTGCTTGGTTTGGCTTATTAGACTTGTGTTACCTGACGCGTCATGTGTATACTTGCAAAACTTTTTTTAAAATAATGAATAAAATATACTCCTCCCTCCATCTCATGTTTATTGGACTCCTCATATTTTCGGTCAAACTTTAACCATCTATATAACTAACAAGATATAAAGTACATGATACAAACATATGTATTATTGGGTTTGTATTCGAAAGAGGTTGCGCACAGTATAATTTTTGTGACATGTCCTTTATATTTTATTAATTAAATCTATTGTCAAACTTTGACTCAAAACAAGAGAGAGCCTAATAAACCAAGACGGAGGGAGTAGATGCATGATTTTTTTAATGAAATCTCAAAACCATATTCCCTTTTAAAACATTTAATTTCAACACCTGGTTTCTCTCCTTGAGGACGAAGAGCTTTTGTCTTCCTTCTCCTCCAGGACGAAGAGCCCGTCTTCGGTCCCATACTGGACGAAGAGGATGTCTTCGGTGTCGTGCTGGATGAAGAGCTTCCCTTTCGTTACCTGATGGACGAAGAGTAGTCTTCCTTCCTGACCGGAACGAGAAAATGTTGGCCCAGGTGCACGTGCACACATAAACTCACATATGATCATCCCCGGTGCACCGTAGCTCCTCTGGTCGAACCCTTCCATCACCAAGACCGCATCGATGTAGAGAATCCATTCGTATGAACAAGAGCTCGAATCATGCATTGTGGAGTATGAATTTTGCCTTTCAATCTACACCGACCATCGTAAGCCTATGTCAACCTTGGTGATTTTTTTCCAATTAATCACATCCGTCTACTCACTTGGATGCCACTATCTATGCCTCAAAGCTCGTGTCACTCCTACTGTTTTTTTTTTCAATTAATTGGAGGTGGCTTTGTTACATGGGTCACCAGCAGATCCTCGATATGCCTCAAAGCATGTGTCGCTAATAATTGACATAGCGGAGTCGGTTTCGGAAACAACCTCTAATTTCTTATTGTTGCAAGCTGCTTCGCATGCAGAACCACCTACAAGTTCTATCATGCCACAAGTGGCTATCAATATATAATCGCCTGAAGTACTCTATCATTTTAAGCGGCTTTCTGCATAGAACCGCTTATAGTGTAGTACTTTTTTTGTACCAGAAAGTTCCATTGCAATTCAAATGCCAGAAAGATCACATGTGCATCTACAGAGGCATAAACATTCCCATTCATCGCAGAAGTCAATTACATTGCATAATACATTCAAGAACTAGAGAGAATTTGCTTGCATTCATCGAACATGACCCGTCATCAATTTAAAGGTACATAGAACATACAGACCTCAAATACATAATGAACCTTAATTTTTGACAACAAAGGCATAACTGCCTTGGCTAGGACGAGTTAAAGAATGAAAGTTATTACTCAACACATACAAGCAAAAGTTAGGCACACCTTTGGCACATGGAGAAGTCTCAACTTTCATCATCGGTCTATAGTCTCGTGCAACACCATCTAAAAAGAAGCTATAAGCATACAACAACTAACCCTAAAATCAAAATCCATAAGCATACAACAACTAACTCTACAAATAAAATCCGTAATTACACACCAACTTTCCCCACAAGCAAAATCTATAAGCATATAACAATTTCCCCTACAAACAAAATCCATAAACACACAATAACTACCCCTGCAAAAATCCATCGGCGCAAGGCTGGTAACACTTGGTAGCTCACCGTGTTGGTGATGGAGTGCACCCTGGGAGGCCTTAGTGGAGGTCGATGACGGCGACATTGCCCTCCCAGGGGTCGCCACACCCCTCCCAAGATGCCTAGGTCAACGACACAACCAGTCTGGATCTGCCACCACACGCGCCACACATGGACGGATGGGCCACCTCGCCTTTGTGCCATCCCCACTTGTCGATTTGAACATTGTGTTGGTGGTGTTAGGGTTTGATCGTGGACTAGGGAAAAGGAATAGGAAATGAGATGGAGGAAATTGAAGGGGTGGTGCCTAATAACCCTTAGACAAATAGAAGGGAAATGATGCGCCCATAGGTACGCACCAACCGCATCCAATTCTGATGGAGAAACCGCATGCACTTGCTTTGAACCTAGCGGCGGCTTCGAGGAGCTAACTGCCTCCAATCTTTGCAAGCGGTTTTAGCTTACAAACTGCCTGTGGAGCTTTTTTCAGTGAAGTGCATCCTAGGTCCTCGAACTATTTCGAGTGTCACGTAGGTCCTCGAACTATTTCGAGTATCATCCAGGTCCTCAAAGTGCAATAAGTGTGTACGTACGTGACACCTCTGACATAGTTTGAGGACCTATGTGACATATCTGAAATAGTTCGAGGACCTGGATGACAGACATATTGCACTTTGAAGACTTGGATGGCAATTTTCATAGGTCGAGGACCTAGTTGAGACCTCTAAAATAGTCCGAAGACCTATGATGCACTTCACTCTCTCTCTCTCTCTCTCTCTCTCTCTCTCTCTCTCTCTCTTGCGAATGAAAAGAATTGCAATAATCAAGCTTGGTCATTACAATCCTGCTAACATAGGATGCCGATATCATTTAGACCTCCTCGCAACAAACAGCGGTGCAAGGGAGAGCTTGCCACATCTGGGCAAGAGTATGGCTCACCTTATTTTGGTCCCTATGAACAATCGAAATCAAATGATCTACGCATTGCCCTAACAAGCCTTTTATTTCTCCTATAAGAGAGGCTACAGAGGATCTATTTGGCTTCGCATCATTGATCATATCAGCAGCGACCAAGCAGCCCTCTCAACTATGATAGGCAGCGAGGTCCATTCAAGGACGAGCGCCACTCACTCCTTACAAGCAGCGAGTTCCCCCTCCAGGGCAGTCACACATGTGATAAGGCACGGACATAACGAGAAGCTAATCTCACCACCATGGTTCCTTAAGATCATGCACACCACCTAAGTTGTGGGCTTCCCCTCTATGCTTCATCCATGTTGAGCTTCGCCCACCCCTCAGCGGTTTCTCCTATCTCTCCGACGGACAGTACCTCCCAAGCTTACTATGGCAAAATAACCGCCTTCGACGTGGGTATTTCGGATGACTTCATTCTGCTTCATCACAACCGCTTTCGGAGCCCGCTACTAATACCCATTTTTCTACTACTGTATTTTTTATAAATGGTAATATACATCATGGTACATGGCCATGCTTGCGAATACGAGCCGACAAAACAGCTACTAAGTCTGACAATTTGATGCACCATGTCCCCGAACGAACGAGGAACACGCCATTTTTGAACGGAATGGGAACGACGGCACATCGTCCTTTCTGGTCCTCGCATAAATCGACTGCATTTTCCTTTCGAGCCTTGCCGGCTCGGCGAGCGCGTACGATCGCCGGTTCCGTGGGCTTCTCTGAACCAAAATTTGTAGCGTAATGCAGAGGCGTACTAGCGAATAGCGATCGACGGCGCAGCGCGCTCGGCGGATCGTTGGCTGCTTGCGACAGCCGACAGGGTCTCCGCGTTTCCCACCAGGTGCCTGAAACCGCTGAACATCTGACGTCCGCGCCGCTCTGCGGAAGACTCCCAACTTCCCAAACATCCAACTTCCCGAACGGCCGGCCGCTGTGGACCGCATGCTTGCATGCATGCATGCATGACATCCTCGTCGCAGGTTGCACACACGTACGGAGGAAGCGGTGCACACGCGTATTCGAATTTAGCACGAGGTGTGTATTATACGGTATTTCCGTTGCATAGGAGGCCGTTCGGGCACCCTGCCCGTCTGTATCTAACCTGTTTTCAGCGGTAGCTTCATTCTTTGCTGCCTGCTGATGTCTCTACCGTGGAGTACTAATTTGTAACTGTATATTTTTTTTCTCCCATAGTGCATGTGCAGGCATGCAACAGAGCTCCAGCTTTTCCCGCCGAAAAATAATAATGGTGCGCGGTCTTCTTTCACAAAGCAAGCATACGTTTGCATGGAAGGTACAGCACTTGTGCGCCCGGTTCGGTCAGCCTTGATGTCCACCCTCACAGCGAGCGTGGCCTAACATCATTCGCGTGGCACCATGTCCACTCGTCCATTTTCGCCCTCTCCACTCTCTCTATATAGGTGACATACATTCCAGGACAGGAGCAAGGATCACCAGCTACCTATCATTCCTTTCTCGTATCCGGGCCAACTCCTGGTGGTTGGTCTCCTCACCCTTCAGCTAGCTCCTTCCTACGAGCAGAGGTCAACTACCCGCACGCCGGCCAATCACCTTCATAGCCAGAGATCACAGCGCAGTGAGACATGGAGATGGCAGCGGTGACGAGGGATGGAAAGAATGGCGGCGTCCCAGAATGGCGGGTGACGGTGCCGGAGGGCGCGTCGGTGACGCTGGAGCACGAGGCCTGCCTAGCCGCGCGGGCATGGGCGTGGATGGTTTCTTGTGTGGTCGTGCTCGGGGAGAAGGTGTCCGGCTTCGCCAAGCGGATATGGAAGATCGGCGCCGACGATCCCCGGCGGGCGGTGCACGGCCTCAAGGTGGGCCTCGCGCTCGCGCTGGTCTCGGTGTTCTACTACACCAGGCCCCTGTACGACGGCGTTGGCGGCGCCGCCATGTGGGCCATCATGACGGTCGTCGTGATCTTCGAGTACACCGTTGGTAAGTCGTCGTACTTATACACCCTCGCACGTTACATCTAGCAGAAGAATGTACGTACTATGTTGTAGTCAACGTACGTACTTCGATTGGCTTTCTGATGCTGACCTCTCATGCATGCACGTGCAGGTGGCTGTGTGTACAAGGGGTTCAACCGAGCCGCCGCGACGGTCAGCGCCGGCGCGATCGCGCTCGGCGTCCACTGGATCGCGGCCAACGCCGGCCACGAGTTCGAGCCGTTCATCCGCAGTGGCTCGGTTTTCCTGCTCGGTAAGTATCCACGCGTGCCTGTACATGAATCGCGTATCGTGTGCGCCCTAGCTAACGGTCTTGCTACGCGTTCCGTGCGTGCAGCTTCCATGGCGACGTTCTCGCGGTTCATACCCACGGTGAAGGCGCGGTTCGACTACGGCGTGACCATCTTCATCCTGACGTACAGCCTGGTGGCCGTGTCGGGGTACCGCGTGGAGGCGCTCCTGGCGATGGCGCAGCAGCGGGTGTGCACCATCGGCATCGGCGTCTTCATGTGCCTCTCCGTCTGCGTGCTCATCTGCCCCGTGTGGGCGGGGCAGGAGCTGCACCGCCTCACCGTGCGCAACATGGATAAGCTCGCCGGCGCCGTGGAGGCCTGCGTCGAGGACTACTTCGCGGAGCAGGCGGACGGCAAGCAGCAGCCGCCGTCCGCCGGGGCGGACGGGTACAAGTGCGTGCTCAACTCCAAGGCGTCCGAGGACTCGCAGGCCAACCTGGCGCGGTGGGAGCCCGCGCACGGCAGGTTCGGCTTCCGCCATCCGTACGAGCAGTACAAAAACGTCGGCGCCGCCATGCGGCACTGCGCCTACTGCGTGGAGGCCCTGAGCGGGTGCGTCCGCTCAGAGATCCAGGCGCCCGAGCACGTCAAGCGGCACCTCGCCGACGGCTGCACGACGGTGGCGGCGCGGTGCGCGCGGGTGCTCGGGGAGGCCGCGAGCTCCGTCAGCGCAATGACTACGTCGTGGAGCCTCGAGTTCGCCGTGGCCGACATGAACACCGCCGTGCAGGAGCTCCAGAGCGACCTGAGGGAGCTCCCGTCCAAGCTGGCCGAGGAGTCGCCTGCGACGGTGATCGACGCCGTGCAGCTCTTCACGGTCACTTCGCTGTTGATAGAGGTGTCCACCAGGGTGGAGGGCGTCGTGGACGCGGTCGACACGCTCGCGAGCCTCGCCGGCTTCAGATCAGCGGACGCGAAACCTGAAGCTTCAGAAACCGAAACCAAAGCGATCAATCCAGACTCGGACGAGGAAGCACACTGAGCAGGATTATTAATCGGATCAGGATGCAGGTCGGAATTGATCCCAGCCAGATGAGTGGAGCCGGGCAGATTAAACTGGTTCCACGATGGCGTTCGAGTGAGCTGACACATCATTCTTTATCTGATTATTTCTGCTCGCAGCATGTGTCATTTCAATCCCGATTGATCTCCAGCGGTGACAGAGTGGCCGAATTAGATCAGTGGCGAATAAAAAAACACGTGAACACTTGGCCCAGGTCATTTAGTACGTGCATAATAAGTCCCCTCCCAAAAAAAATCTACCTGCAGCAATTCAGTAAGTGTTTAGGACATCTACAATACAGAGTGATTACAATGTGCTTATGAAAATCTACACATCGTTATGGACTTTTTCTTCTAAATATCTCTGTTTATTTCTATAGCGGAGATGCCAGTAATTGAGCAAAAATCTCCACATCGTCGTATACACCTGAAAAATCGCCAGTAAATTCAAATAAAATAGCAAAAAGAAAAACTGAAAGTTTTGTACATAAAAATGAACAAGTTTTCTATGTGCATGCAAAATTTCATGACAAATATGACAATGGGGGAGCTCGAGGCAGAAAAAACAAAATCACTGCTCCAAAATAAAATAAAAATTGAACCATTATCAAAATTCTTTTTTCCCACTGTCGGTGTCAAAATCGGCGGATCTCGGGTAGGGGGTCCCAAACTGTGCGTCTAGGATCGATGGTAACAGGAGACGGGGGACACGATGTTTACCCAGGTTCGGGCCCTCTCTATGGAGGTAATACCCTACGTCCTGCTTGATTGATCTTGATGAATATGAGTGTTACAAGAATTGATCTACCACGAGACCGTAATGGCTAAACCCTAGAAGTCTAACCTGTATGACTATGGTAATAAGTATATCATTTCCGGACTGACCCCTCCGGTTTATATAGACACCGAGGGGATCTAGGGTTTACATAGAGTCGGTTACATAAGAAGGAATCTTCATAGTCGGTCCGCCAAACTTGCTTTCCACGCCAAGGAGAGTCCAATCCGAACATAGGTACAATCTTCGGCCTTCATGTCTTCACAGACCATCAGTCCGGCCCATGGATAACAGGCCGAACGCCCGAAGACCCCTTAGTCTAGGACTCACTCACCCACAGCTCCATCGATGTCATATCGCATCAAAATTTTGCACACACATAGAAAACTTGTGCATCTTCATTTTCCATTGCAATTTGTTTCGATTTTATACTGTTCAACCACGGAGCAGAGGCTCCTGTGCACCAAAACATCGTCCTTGTAACCTTGCATTACAAATGTCCTTAATGTTTACTCAAAAATTGATTTATTTTTCTAAGCACCGGTGGTTCCTGTAGAGGTGCCTAGAAGAACACAAAGGTGCATCGAGAAATAAATCGTTTATTATTAAGCATTGGTACTTATTGGTAGCATGCAAATCTAAATTTTCTAGTGCATATGTGCTTATTTGTTTCTTCATTTATTTAATTATAAGGTCTTATGTGGACACTTAAGGGCCAACAAGGGAGAAAAAACATGTGAGGATGAGTGGATCCATGTATATAGAATAGAAACAAGAGGGCTTTGTGCCTGGACACCAAAATCATATTATTTTTTACTAAGCTATCCTATTATATCAAAAAAATTACATGCCTTAGCACAGATACACAACGAAGCACGGTAACAAGGCAAACCCTTTCCACTACTTGGCCCAAGTCACTGCGAGCATTACCCGGTATGTGGCTCGTTCGGGGCTTCCGGCTTTGGATGTTAGGCTTAGGTGAGAGGTCTGGATATATGGCCCAGCTTGCACCCCTTCATCATTTGGATAGGAGGAGCGGCATATGTTGCCAAGATGGCGGGTTCAGGCATATTGTTGTACTACTTTGTAAGGTCCTCAAGAATAATCAATAAAAATGGCCGCATGCATCTCCCAGATGCAGAGGCTGGAGGTCATCCTCCTTTTCTAAAAAAAAAAGTCACTGCGAGCAAGTGCAGGCGCACCGACCATGTTTCTCGTTTGGCTTTTGATTTTGAATCTTTTATATCTTTTGAACAAAAGTACAAATTAATTTTTGTTTGCATATTTGCGTTCCTTGTGATGTGGTCTTTGAAATAAGATCACTTTTGAATACGTTTTGACGAGTTTTTAGAACTTCACCATCTGTTGAAACATGATACGGACGAACGAAAAAAATTCCATGTTTCAAAAATTGAAACTTAAAATTTGATGTCCTCTTATGCGCAATCCAAGGACTTTACGGATCATGAAGCAGTCGTGCAGCCGGATACAGTTGGACAGGTGCGTATCCCGCAACTGCGTGCCCGTGCGAATTTCCACCAAGTCACTGAATATTTTACCCGGTGTGTTGTAAAGTTCACACGCACACTCTCTACGAAAGAAGAAAAAAAAGGTTCACACGCACCCTGCAGCAGCCAGCACCAGGGTCATGGGAGAGCAAATGATGAACTTACCAATATTAATACGACACTGTGGCTTTCATGATCTGCGCACCAGCTTATTTTGGAGTGACTGACACGCTGTTCATTGATACTCCAAATGCTCCTACCAAAGAAGCAATTGAGCATATACGTCATGCATGCATCTTCCTAATCGAAGTTACCAGAATTTTTCGGTATGCTTTTTCCATATGCTTTTCAGATGTTGCATACAGCAAGGCTAAGCACCGGTAGTCTATATAAAGTTATAAACAACAACGAATAGATTTTTTGTGTGTGTCTTACCTGATGACTCGCGCCTGCCACGAGTCGCGTTGTCATCATCAATTAAATACTAACTCGCCATAGCTGGTGCTTGCAAAAGACATTTTAGTTAATTAGCTGATAAGAGTTAGTGAGAAAAGGGGTGTGTGTATTGTCTCCTTTTCAACTATCTAATAGAAGACCCAGTTGTTTCAGCACCGAAAACAGCTGTGTGTGTGTGTGTAGACGTCAATAAAAGACCAGGAACCAGAAAAGTTTGGTCATATTGGTAATGGGATCATATGGTCTCGGGTAATGTCAAAGTTAGCATGCATGCTAGCATGTTGTCTAGTAAAATCACAAACGAAAGTACTCCCTCTGTAAACAAACATAATAGCGTTTAGATCATTATTTTAGTAATTTAAACGCTTTTATATTAGTTTACAGAGGGAGTACTTCACACACGACACTGGCACGATTGCAAATCCAGCCATTTGCTATTATTTTATACTTGTCCATAGACGGTGTGATACGCAAGTCGTGCAATTATCGGCTGGCAAACATCGTCCGTGTAGAAGTGCTCAATCACAAACAAAGCGACCCGTCTCAAAACAGCCACACAGCCACATGATACAAGATATTAAAAAAAACTCAAAAGCTGATCAAACCAAGAAAACACGAAGAAACATGTCGAGAGCGCAAAAACACATAGGAGTGCATTACCAAACACCTCCAGCAAACCACTGAGAAGAAGCATAGGAGCCACGCCGTCGCAACAGAGAACACCCACACTCAACGATGACGCCTTCAGAGAGTCACGACGCAAAGCGCCGCCGCCCCCGTGTCTGCCGAAGTCGATAATGGTTTTGACCCTCAGTGTCGGATGGTAGGGAGAGGGTTAGGACAACGCCCCAAGAGAAAAGTGGCACCTTACCCCAAGAGAAAAGGGCCACTTGTGTTGGGAACGTAGTAATTTTAAAAATTTCCTACGCACACGCAAGATCATGGTGATGCATAGCAACGAGAGGGGAAGAGTGTTGTCCACGTACCCTCGTAGACCATAAGCGGAAGCGTTATGACAACACGGTTGATGTAGTCTTACATCTTCACGATCGACCGATCCTAGTACTGAAAGTACGGCACCTCCACGATCTGCACACGTTCGGCTCGGTGACGTCCCACGAACTCTCGATCCAGCTGAGTGTCGAGGGAGAGCTTTGTCAGCACGACGGCATGATGACGGTGATGATGATGCTACCATCGCAGGGCTTCGCCTAAGCACTATGATGATATGACTGAGGTGGATTATGGTGGAAGGGGGCACCGCACACGGCTAAGGGATTAATGATCAACTTGTGTGTTTATGGGGTGCCCCATGGCCACGTATATAAAGGATGGAGGGAGGAGGAGGCTGGCCCTCATAGGGCGCGCCCAAAGAGTGGAGTCCTACTAGGACTCCCTAGTCCTAGTAGGATTCCACCTCCCACATGGAATAGGAAAAAGGGAAGGGAGAAGGAGAATGAAGGAAGGGGGCGCCCCCTTTCCCTAGTCCAATTCGGACCAGTTCATGGGGAAGGGGCGCGACCACCCTTGAGGCCTTTCTCTCCTTTCCCGTATGGCCCATTAAGGCCCAATATGAATTCCCGTAACTCTCTGGTACTCCGAAAAATACCCGAATCACTCAGAACATTTCTGATGTCCGAATATAGCCTTCCAATATATCGATCTTTACGTCTCGATCATTTCAAGACTCCTCATCATGTCCCCGATCTCATCCGGGACTCTGAACAAACTTCGGTCATCAAATCACATAACTCATAATACAAATCGTCATAGAACGTTAAGCATGCAGACCCTATGGGTTCGAGAACTATGTAGAAATGACCGAGACTCATCTCCGGTCAATAACCAATAGCGGAACCTGGCTGCTCATATTGGTTCCTACGTATTCTATGAAGATCTTTATCGGTCAAACCGCATAACAACATATGTTGTTCCCTTTGTCATTGGTATGTTACTTTCCCGAGATTCCACCGTCGGTATCTCAATACCTAGTTCAATCTCGTTACCGGCAAGTCTCTTTACTCGTTCCGTAATGCATCATCCACAACTAACTCATTAGTCACATTGCTTGCAAGGCTTATAGTGATGTGCATTACTGCTACCTCTTGAGCACTGCGTTGGATTTCCCCAAAGAGGAGAGGATGATGGAGCAAAGTAGCGTAAGTATTTCCCTCAGTTTTTGAGAACCAAGGTATCAATCCAGTAGGAGGCTACGCGCGAGTCCCTCGTACCTACACAAAA